ACTATCACACATCTATAACACGTAGATAGACAAACATATAGACAGGCAAACAGATCTTATAACTTCTGTTTAAAAAAAATTAGGCATGAGCTGATAGCCATAACCAAAACTCATTAGTTTATAAAAGAATAGTTGGATCCAAATTGTGTTTCTGGCAGATGGGCTAAGTTGAGGCTACCTGCTCAGATAGCAAAGCAAAGTTTGTTTGTTTGCAAGCTGTAAGGATCTTTTAGAAGCTTCTGCTTATCAAAGAATGCATTCCATTGTCTCTGAGAGGTTGGGAATCCTCTCTTGTCAAAGGCACAGCTTAAGATACACTTCAAGTTAAAGTTGCCCTACAGTGACCACTACAATTCTATAAGTTCACCCATTTTCCAAAAAGGCACAAAATCCTGGTCCATAGACCAACCAGGTAGAACACATCTTTGCCTTTAGATTCCCTAAGAGTTCATTTGAGGGGCTGTTTTCTAAAAGCTGTTCTCAAACACAGGGAACCATGTGTTTCCCCGCCCTCTTCCCTTTAGAATAGAATAAGATGATTTAGGTAAATAAGCTTCAACAAACAAAATACAGGTATGCAAATTAAAGTCAGCTCAAAATGGAGAGAACAGAGCTCAGATATGAGAGAGACTTACCTTCAAACTCTAGAGTAAATGAGAAAGCACTGAAGTCAGTAGACTCTGGGTTCCATCACCATAGGGGCCTCAGTTGAGGAGGAAAGGGAGGTAAGGGGTATTTTTTTGGATCCCATTTTGACACCACAAACTGTCAAAAGTTTAGAAATAACAGAGGTAAAACTAATGAATCACTGAAGTAGTAATTAGTGAAAGTGTATTGTGCACACACCAAAAAGACAGTTTGCAAACCAGGAGCTTTCAAACCAAAACATGGAAGGAAGCTCAGAGGTATATTGTTAGAAAGTGGTTTATATAGTGAGAAATTCCTGCCCTCAAGCGTCTTCTACTTGTTCATATGTATGTACTACTAAATTTTAGTCGTTCACAGGTATTTGAAGTTCCTTAATTTTGCACCATATGTTTCCCCCACTTCTGACCTTTTCATGTTTTCGTCTGAAATCTAATCCCTCCATAGAATAGGAGTTCCTCTTTTAAGATTGAATTGTAACTCTTTAAAGCAAGTATTGAATGAAACGTTGAATGATTAATTTGAGTATTTATGTGGATGGATTTTGCCTAATCTGGGACATTTGAATCTGTTATTTATAAGATAGGTTTTGCCATCTCAATTTTACAGATAAGGAAAGAGGTGAAGAGGAACAGGTTAAGTTTGCTAAGATCATACAGTAATTTCTTGCTAAAATTCAATACAGTTGAGTTAATAAAAAAAGCCTCAAAGCTTTGGTTTTTTTGCTAATCATTTTGTATGTGGTGTTTAAGTATCATTGGCGTTATACTTGTTTATGTGATTTTGGACACTTCTCTGAAGTCTGGAGAATTCTCAGTAAAAATTAGTGTGGGAATAACCATGTAGTCATTTTAAAAGTCACTATAATATATGGTTTACTTTCTAACATTTTTTTGTGCTTAATAGTGACAAATTATCATTGGTTAGGTTTAAAAAATATTTTAAACTACGGTTTAAAAAACTTGCTATGATATTTCTTTCATTTTTATAAAGAAGTTTGAATCTCCAATTCAATTTTAGAATGGCATCCATTTCAAGTTAGTGGAAATGATTACATTGTATAGTATATTCTGTTTTATTTCTAATTGCCTGCTCTTTGAAAAAAAATTTTTTTTTCTCTGTACTTTCAACTTTGCTGTGAACCTTAAACTGCTCTAAGAGGAAAGTCTTAATAAAAATAAAGAAAGATAAATTATAAAAATATTTGTTTTGGTGTGCCTGGGTGGCTCAGAGTTAAGTGTCCGATTATTGATTTCAGCTTAGGTTATGATCTCATGGTTTGTGAGTTCCTGCATCAGCAGCACAGCCCTGCATCAGACTCTGTGCTAGTAGTGTGGGGCCTGCTTGGGATTCTCTCCTTCTTCTTTCTCTTTCTCTGCCTCTCCTGCACTCTCTCTCTCTCTCTCAAAATAAATAAATACACTTAAAAAATGTGAAATATATACTTGTTTTAAAAATTCTGAGTTTTGTTTTGTGAGTTTTTTTTTATTGTGGTAAAACATATATACCAAAATGTACCATTTTAACTAATTTTAAGTATATAGTACAATGGCAGCAATTCACATTATTGTGTAACCATCACTAGTATCCATCTCCAGAACTTTTTCATCATTCCAAACTGAATTTATGTACCTATTATACAGTAATGCTCCCTTATTCCCTTTCCTCCAGTTGCTGGTAACACTACTTATATTCTGTCCATATGAAGTTGACTACTCTAGGTACCTCATATAAGTGGACTCATGCAATATTTGTCCTTTTCTTTCTGGCTTATTTCCCTTAGCATAATGTCTCTAAGCTTCATCCATTTTGTGATAGGTATCTTTTTAAGGCTGAATAACATTGTGTTGTATGTATATACCACCTTTTGTTTATCAATTTGTCTGTCAGTGTACATTTGGGTTGTTTTATCTTGTGGCAGTTGTGTATGACGCTCCTATAAACATTGCAGTACAAATGTTTTTGAGCCTCTGCTTTCAGTTCTTTTGGATATATACCTAGAAGTAGAATTGCTGAATCACATGGTATTTCTGTGTTTAAATTTTCAAGAACTGTCATATTATTTTCCATACTCACTGTTTCATTTTTTATTCCCCCAAACAATGCATAAGAGTTCCAAGGAATGATATGTTTTTTGATAGAATTCTAGGAACCTAAGAAATCATAAAGTAGAAAACATAAGTCACTCCTAGTCTCACTACTCAGATTAATATCATAATATAAAGATATATTATTTTTCCACAAACATTTTAGTTTGCAAAGAGTTTTTATTATGTTTTTTCTATTTGTTGTTGACATATAATTAACATATAATGGTATTATTTCCAGGATTGCAACATGATAACTATAGTCACTACGTATCACCATATGTTGTTATAATATTATTTATATTCCGTATGCTGTACTTTTCATCTCCAGGACTTATTTTACAGCTGGAAATTTGTACCTCTTAATCCCCCTCCACCTATTTCACCATTTCCTCCACCTCTCCACCTTCCTCCCCTCTGCCAACCACCAGTTTGTTCTCTGTATTTCTTTTCATTTTTTTTTTTTTAACATTTCACCTATAAGTGAAATCATATGGTATTTGTCTTTCTCCGAGTGTTGCAAATGGCAAGAGCTCATTCTTTTTTATGATTAATATTCCATTGCACATGTATATCACATCTTATCCATTCATCTGTCATTGGACACGGGTTGCTTTCCTATCTTGGCTATTGTAAATAATGTTGCAGTGAACATAGGGGGGCATATATCTTTTTGAATCAGCAATTTCATTCTCTTCATACCCAGAAGTAGAATTGCTGGATTATATGGTATTTCTTTTTTTAATTTTCCGAGGAATCTCCATACTGTTTTTCATAGTGGCTGTACCATTTTACATTCTCACCAAGAGTGCACCAAGGGTCTTTTTCTCCACATCTTTGCCAACACTTGTTATTTCTTGTGTTTTTGATACTAGCTATTTGGACTGATGTGAGGTGATACTCCATTGTTGTTTTGATTTGCATATCTTTGGATGATTTGTGATGTTATGTATCTTTTCATATGTCTGTTTGCCATTCTGTCTTCTTTGGGAAAATGTCTATTCAGGTGTTCTGCCCATGTTTTAATTGGAGTGTTTGTTTGTTTGTTTGGTGTTGAGTTATATAAGCTTTTTATGTATTTTGGATATTAATCCCTTATCAAATTTATCATTTGCACATATCTTCTATCATCCACTAGGTTGTCATTTTGTTTTATTGATGGTTTCCACTGCTGTGCAAAAGCATTTTATTTTGATGTAATTAGCATTTGTAATTTACATTTGCATTTTTTTCCTTACCTAAGAAGATATATCCTTAATTAGGTTGTTAAGGGGAATGTCCAAGAGAGCACTGCCTATGTTTTCTTTGAGGATTTTTGTGGTATCAGGGCTCACACTTCATTCTTAATCCATTTTGAGTTTGTTTTAGTATTTGGTGTAAGAAAGTGGTCCAATTTCATTCTTCCTCATGTATTTGCCCAGTTTTCCTAACCATTTATTGAAAAGACTATCTTTTCTCCATTGTATATACTTGCTTCATTTGTCGTAAATTAACCGTATAGATGTGGATTTATTTCTGGGCTCTCTATTGTGTTCCATTGATCAGTGTGTCTGTTTTGGGACCAGTACCATACTGTTTTGGTTACTGAAGTTTTAGAATATATCTTGAAATCTGAGATTGTAATAACTCCAGTTTTGTTTCTTCTTTGTCAAGATTGCTATTTGAAGTCTTCTGTGGTTCCATACAAATTTTATGATTATTTGCCCTAGTTTTATGAAAAATGCCATTAGAATTTTGATAGGGATTTCACTAAATCTGTAGATTGCTGTGGACATTATGAACATTTTAACAATGTCACTTCTTTTAGTCTGTGGGCAGAGAATATTCCCATTTATTTGTGTTTTCTTCAATTTCTTTTAGCAGTGTCCTGTAGTTTACAGGTCTTTCACTTTTTTTGGTTAGGTTTATTCCTAGGTATTTTATTCTTTTTGGTACAGTTGTAAATGGAATTGTTTTTATAATTTTTCTTCTACTTCATTATTAGTGTATATAATTGCAACATATGTCTATATATTAATTTTGTATCCTGCAACTTTATTGTTCTAATAGTTTTTCAGTAGAGTCTTTAGAGTTTTCTATATATAGTATAGAAATCTACAAATAGTGACAGTTCTACTTCTTTACCAATATGGATGGTTTTTATTTTTTTGTCTGATTGTTGCAGCTAGGACTCCCAACTGTGTTGAATAAGTGTGAGAGTGAACATTCTTGTCTTTTCCTAATCTTAGAATAAAAGCTTTCAGTTTTTCATCATGTGTATGATGTTAGCTGTGGGTTTTTCATGTATGGCTTTTATTATGTTGAGGTATGTTCCCTCTAAACCTAAATTGTTGAGAATTTTTATCCTGAATGGAAGTTGATTTTAGCAAATGCTTTTTCTCCATCTATTAAGTTGAGCATATGATTTTATTTTTCCTCTTGGTGATGTGATGTATCGTATTGATTGATTTGCAAATAGTTGAACCGCCCTTGCCTCTCTGGAGTAAATCCCACTAGATCTTGGTGAATGATTTTTTGTTTTTTAGTGTATTGTTAAATTTGGTGTGCTAATATTTTATTGTGGGTTTTTGCATCTGTGTTTATCAGAGATATTGACCTGTGGTTCTCTTTGTAGTGTCTTTATCTGGTTTTGGTATCAGGGTAATGCTGGCTTCATGGAATGAATTTGGAAGTTTTCCATCCTTTTCTATTTTTTGAAATAGTTTGAGAAGAATAGGTATTAACTCTTCTTTAAATATTTGTAAGAATTCATCTGTGAAGTCATCTGGTGCTAAACTTTTGTTTGCTGGGAGTTTTTTGATTAACTGATTCAATTTCATTGCTGGTTATCATTCTGTTCAAATTTTCTATTTCTTCCTGATTCAGTTTTGGGATGTTATTGGTCTGTTTCTATTTCTTCCTGATACAGTTTTGGAAGTTGTATGTTTCTAGGAATTTATCCATTTCTTCTAGGCTATCAAATTTGTTGGCATATAATTTTTCATAATAGTGAATGATTGTTTTGATATATTGCTGAATGTGCTTTGCTAATATTGAGAATTTTTCATCTGCATTTATCAGGGATATTGGCCTATAGTTGTGTGTGTGTGTGTGTGTGTGTGTGTGTGTGTGTGTTTCTGTGGTATCTGTCTGGATTTGGTATGAGGGTAATGCCAGCCTTATAGGATGTATTGGGAAGCTTTCCTTCCCCTTCTATTTTTTGGAATAGTTGAGGAGAATAGGTATTAACTCTTTTTTAAATGCCTGATAGAATTTGCCTGTGAATCCATCTGGTCTTGGATTTTTCTTTGTTCATAGTTTTTTGATATCCTAGTTGAATTGCCTTACCTATAATTGGTCTGTTTCTATTTCTTCCTGATTCAGTTTTGGAAGGTTGTGTTTCTAGGAATTTTTTCATCTAGATTGTCCTATTTGTTGGCTTATGTTTTCATAGTAGTCTCATAATCTTGTGTATATCTGTGGTATCAGTTATTTACCTTTCATTTCTGAATTTATTTGGTTCTCTCTCTTTTATTCTTGATGAGTTGGACTAAAGGTTTATCAAGTGGTTTTTTTTTTTGTTTTTTTTTTTTTATGTTTTCAAAGAACCAGCTCATGGAAACCACATTTTACTGAATTTCTTTTCTTTTTCCTTTCTTTTCCTTTTTCCCTTTCCCTTTCCCTTCTCTTCTTTCTGTCTCTATTTCATTTATTCTTCTTCTTCTGGTGCTTATAATTTCCTTCCTTGTACTAACTTTGGGCTTTGTTTGTTCTTTTTCTAGTTGCTTTAGGTATAAGGTTAGAGTGAGATTTTTCTTTTTTCTTGAGGTAGGCTTGTAGTGCTATAAATTTCCCTCTTTGAACTGCTTTCACTGTGTTCCAAAGATTTTGGATCATTGTGTTTTTATTTTCAGTTGTCTCCATGTGTTTTGTTTTGTTTTGTTTTAATTTCCTCTTTGCTTTTTTTGTTGACCTGTTGGTGGCTTAGTATCATGTTATTTAAGCTCCATGTGTTTGTGTCTCCCCCCACCCCCTTTTTTCTTATAATTGATCTCTGGGTTCATACCATTGTGGTCAGAAAAGATTATTTATAATATTTCAATCTTTTTAAGTTTTTTGAGGCTTTTTTTGTAGCCTAACATGTGATTTATCCTGAAGAATATCCTATGTGCACTTGAAAAGAATATATATTGTGCTGTTTTTTGATGTAATATTCTGTATGTATGTTAGCTCCATCTAGTCTAATGTGTTACTCAAAGATATTGTTCCCTCATTGATTTTCTGTTTTGATCTGTGTGTTGATGTAAGTGGGGTGTTAAAGTCTCCTATTATTGCATTACCATCAATTTCTCTCTTTATGTCTCTTAATATTTGCTTTATGTATTTAGATGTTCCAATGTTGGTTGCATAGTGAATTATAGTTGCTATATATTCTTGTTGGATTGATCTCTTTATTGTAATGTAATTCCTTTCTTTGTTATAATAGTCTTTGTTTTAAAGTCTATTTTGTCTGATATGTTGCTATCTCCACTTGTCTCCATTTGCATGGAATATTTTGTTTCATTTCTAAATTTTTAGTCTGTATGTTTCTTTACGTCTGAAGTGAGTCTCTTGTAGGCAGCCTATAGATGGGTCTTGTTTTGTGTTTTGTTTTGTTTTGTTTTTTTTTTTCCTTTCAGCTCCTAGGTTTTGATTGCAGCATATTTAGACTGTTCACATTTAAGGTAATTATGAGTAGATATATACTTATTGCTATGTTGTTACTTGTTTTCTGGTTGTTGTTGTCGTTCTTTGTTCCTTATTCTCTTGCGCTCTTTTTTTGTAACTGATGACTTTCTTTTTTCTTTTTTTCTTTTTGATGACTTTCTTTAGTGTTATGCTTGGGTTTCTTTCTCTTTATTATTTATATATCTCATAGAGGTTATTGGCTTGTGGTTGCATGAGGTTCATATATAACGTGTATACCAATGTAAATTAAGCTGATGTCTACTCAAGTTTGAACTTTTTTTTAATGTTTGTATATTTTTGAGAGAGAGGCAGACAGAGTGCAAGTGGGGAAGGGCAGAGAGAGAGGGAGACAGAATCTGAAGCAGGCTCCAGGCTCCAAGATGTCAGCACAGAGTCCCACGTGGGGCTCCAGCTCACAAACTGTAAGATCATGACCTGAGCCAAAGTCGGACACTTAACTGCCTGAGCCACCCAGGCACCCCCAGTTTGAACACATTCTAAGAGAATTTCAATTTTACTATCCTCCTCAACGTTTATGTATATATTAGAAGTTTTTACATCTCTTTATTTTGTGAGTTCCTATAATTTATTTTAGGTACAGTGGATTTTACTTCTCTTTATTTTTTAACCATACTAGCTATATAAGTGGTTTCTCTACTACCTTACTGTTATGTTTGATTTTACTAATGGAATATTTTTCCTTTCATAATTGTTTAAATTTTTAATTATGGCCTTTTCTTTTCCATTTAAAGATGAACTCCTTTACTTTTTATTTGTCCGGGAACTCTCTATTCCTTCTTCAATTCTGAATGATAACCTTGCTGTGTAGAGTATTCTTGGTTCCAGGTTTTTTCTTTTCACCACTTTGAATATATCATGCCATTCTCTTCTGGCTTGCAAAGTTTCTGCTGAAAAATCAGCTGATAGCCTCATGGGGTTTTCCTTGAATATAACTTTTTGTTTCTCTCTTGCTCCTTTTTAAAACTCTCTATTTAATCTTTGCCATTTCCATTGTGTGTTTTTGTGTGGACCTCCTTGTGTTCATTTTTTTAAGGGCTGCCTGTACTTACTGAACCTTGGATGTCTGTTTTGTTCCCCATATTAGAGAACTATTTTAGCTATTATTTCTTCATATGAGTTTTCTGCCCCTTCCTCCCTTTCTTCTGTTTCTTGCACCCCTCTAATGCAAATGTTACTATGCTTAATGTTGTTACAGAGGACCCTGAATCTATCCTCTTATTAAATGTTTATTTATTTTTGAGAGAGAGAGAGAAAGGGAGGGAAGGAGGAAAAGAAACAGAAAATTCCAAGCAGGCCCCGTGCTGTTAGTGCAGAGCCTGATATGGGGTTCAAACCATGAACTGTGAGATCATGACCTAAGCCAAGATCGGGAGACAGATGCTTAATCAACTGAGCTACCCAGGCACCCCTATTCTCTTCTGGGTGGCTCAGTCAGTGAAGCATCCTTCTGACTTCGGCTCAGGTCACGATCTCACAGTTCATGGTTTCAAGCCCTGCATCAGGCTCTGTGCTGACAGCTCAGAGCCTGGAGCCTGCTTTGGATTCTGTGTCTCCCTCTCTCTCTGCCCTTTCCCTGCCTGCGCACACACACACACACACTCTCTCTCTCTCTCTCTCTCTCACTCTCTCTCTCTCTCTCTCTCTCTCTCAAAAATACATTAAAAAAATAAATAAAATAAAACATTCAGGTTGGGTGTTCTCCATTACCCTGTCTTCCAGATTGCTGGACTGTTTTTCGGCTTCCTGTGATCTATTGTATTTTATTTCAGTGACCATATTCTTTGGCTCTCATTGGTTCTCTTTTATATTTTCCATCTGTTTGTTGAAGTTCTCACTGAGCTTATCCATTCTACTTTCTAGTCCGGTGAGCATTTTTGTGACTGTTACTTTGAATTCTTCATCAAGTAGATTTGCCATATCCATTTCATTTAGTCCTTTATCTGAGGTTTTGTTTTCTCCTAAATGGAGCATATGGTTTGTCTCCTCATTTTTTTTTTTTTTTGGACTTTTTTGTGTTTGTTTCTGTGAATTAGGCTGAGCAGCTACATCTCCTAAACTTGAAAGAATAGTCCTATGTATATGTGTGGTTGTCCCCTGTGCAGACTGTGTATGCCTAGTGGCTTTCATTGACTTGGAGCTTTGCCTGGCATGGGCCAGGGATGCTGGGGTCCTCTGTGCTGGTGCTGCCTTGGTGGGATGGCCAAAGCTGAGGTGGCCATTGGCCTGGGCAGTCCTCTCTGTACAGATGGTACCCTGGCACAAGAGCTGAAACTGATGTGGGTGCAAGCCAGGGTGTCCTAGGGTGTTCAGCATAGGGGACACCTACATGGGGTGGCTGGAGCTGAAGTGGGCATGACCCAGGGTGTGCTGGGATGCTCCGCACATGTTGTGTCCTGTGGGGCCGTGAGGTGGGACGGGGGCAGGGAGTCTCCCAGGGCACTCCCAAATCGGTGGTTCCTGGGCAAGGTGGCTGTAACCAAGGCGGCTGCAAGGCAGAGATTCCTGTGGTGCTCTGTGGCTAGAGCCACAGAGTGGCTAGAGCCACA